TCGGTATTCGTTTTATATATTTGTTTTTGAAAAAGTTGATATTGACTGTTGATTTGTTTTGATACAAAACTCCATTGTAAGCCATGTCTTACATACATACATAACTTCACGCCTGTCTCTCATGGGGGTAGGCAGAGACTATGGAACGCCAATTACTACGATTCCTACATACCTCTTTCGCTTCATCAACAGTCATCAATCTTTTCATGCATGCTCGTCGGTTAAGCTATGTTTTGAATCATTAAAAAATATTTAGTAAGTAAATCATGACATGATGATACTGGAATGCAGTTAGGCAGAAAATAGTGTAGTTTAGGCTTTGATAAGTGGAAGAACCTCATGGGACCAAAAAGTGACCTTTTTTTGGTACTTGTATAGGTGTTTGACCACTATCTTACCTGATGATAAGGGATAATCTGATGTCAGATAAACTTTAAAATTACTGCAAGCGATTTGTAATCCTAGAAGCTTTACACCCAGTTTATCTATTACAGTACAAATTTTTGCTGTCGACTACGAACCGTCCAAGCGTAGTAATATAATGCGAAAAAGAGAAAGAAGTACCAACCGAATGAAAGAACACTTAAGTGATTTGTAAAGCTGTAACACTACATTATACAGTTGTCTCATCTTCCCAAGTCTATGGCAACCCGTTTCTTTAAGTGGTCTATTACATCGCGCAGAACTGTTTAAAAGCTTATGGCTGTGTCTTTCTCTTCTTATAGTATCAAATTGCCTTTTAGAAGAATAAGGAATTGTTGTGTATTAGGATAATGGTTTTTTTAATTTTTTTATTACGTTTATGAAACTGTTTCTTTTGTTTTCTGAGCATGAACATTTTTGAAATCACAACTGAGTTTCGTTTCTAGCCCCTTAGCCTCCGTGCGTTTGGCGTTTAGCGCGCCTCAGAGTGCCATCACACCACCACAGATGGGGCTGGCGCCCGATACGGAGCCGCGGAAGGCCGGGTTGCTGGGGCTCCAGCCTGAAGAGCAGGAGTAGGAACGGGGTGGTTTTCAGTCATTAAGATCTGACACTCCCTTCCGCCTCACCCAAGGCGGGAGAAGTCATTGGATGATTGTACTCCTTTTTCAGCCATATTGAAACTGTCAAAAATCTTATATTTGGTTAACCCTTTGAGTACCGTCATTATAGACACAATTAAAGAACAATAGGTTGCGGTCACCGGTGTTTGACAGTTTAAGTTGAACCCTTATATTAAGGTTTAGTTTTCTGTATAGATCTGTTGACACAATAGACTAATCATGGGAAATGTTGCTAATATCTTATAGATTTTAATAAAACTTAACCAACCAAGTTCCAACACATTCATCTCAAAAATAAACCAAGAAGAAGTCTTTAGCACTATTCAAACTCTAGAAATGGGAATACTAACTTGGGCCTAGAAACCACGTGGCGGTCAAGGCTAAGAAAGCCGTTTTTAGAAACTTCACACTTGAGTTTTCGCATATGAAACGTATAATCTGGAACAAGGTTTGTGGTCTCTGTGTTGAAGAGTTGTTCTCAGTTCTAAGATGTTTTGAAGAGTTGTGCTGTGAAGATGTTTCTCATTAGTTAAGAGCTTAGACGAGGTAGCTAGCGAGTTTTGTGAAGGTTATGCTTCATTTATTTTCTCCAACCTCAACAAATGAGTGTAAAATATTAAGCGTCCAAACTTTTTTAAGTTTTTCACACACTAAGTAGTTTTGAAAGACGAAATCACGTGAGTAACACGCGATTTTTAGTTAATTTAGTATGTTTCACTAGGTATTGTATAAACACGAAATGTCCAAATAATTGATTGGTTTGTAGGAGAAAAATAAGCACATGTCATTCGATTGCCAATTATTTTATCACAAAATAACTTAGACCTACAATTTGCCCACCGCTAATATACATTTCCTTTACCTTATTTATCTTCCTTCGAAATAGACATCTATGACAAGGATTGGCCGCAAAAAGCTTTACATAGAGAGGAGTGGAAGGAGGGTAGAGTTTGCCCTGAAGTGGGACGATCATGGCTGAAAATAAAAATAAAATAATTACCTTATTTATCTTCATAGCTGCTAAAATATTATCCTGAATACTTCATACTCCAAATTTTCCTACGCAGAATTTAATAACTTGAATAACGAATACAGGTGAAGTACACGTATTACTGCGCATTCCATAAAACTTACGCCCAGTATTTGGGCCCAGTTAATGGCAGCTACTACAGTTACAAGGCAATGAGCTACCACATACATAGTTACCTTCAGGGAATTAAGGCCTGACCCAACAACCTCTATACATCATAAATGCACACCCACCATCACCCTAAATCTCAGTTTATTACGGCATTTCTAATAAAGCTTGCAACATTGTATGTTATCTTGCCTAAGTGCAGTAGGTGATTGGTCCCGTAAATTTATCGGGCACTACTTACGGCCGATACAGACGTAAGAAGAGCTATAAATCCCAGTGACGTATTGAAACGGTGACATGGTACGGGGGAAAAATTGGAACCGAGCGAACCGGATTAATCCGGTAAAGGATTGAACGGAGAATTTTAGAATTTACTGTTGGCACGTGTTTTAAGTCTTGGGGACGGTGAAAAGCTGGTTGCTTGTGGCGCACCTGTCGGGTCATTTTGGAGGTGGCAAATTAGTAAAACTCTGTTTTTTTTGTTTATACGACGTTGGAAAATTTTCGTAGCTAGTAGTGACATTAGAAAATAGATTGTGTGTTAAGGGAAATATGTCATAACTGGCGAATAGAAAATTCGTAATCCTAACTTTTATAACATCCCGAATCACACTATCTTATGTTGGCCGAGTAGTTGCAAGTGCGACTGCTTTGGGCAGCCGGGCTTCGGGTTCGATTCCCTAACTACTACAGGGTTTTTTTTAAAGAATTTCAGTAGTATCACGGAGTCTGGAATTGTGCTTGGTATATGGCAATAGGCTCACCCCCTTTTACGTGGGTCTCATAACATAAATAGTGAAAAGTCGGTGTTACATTGTACAGTGGCAATAAATCCTGTAATGTGCACCTCTGTCTACTACTTCGGGGATAGAAAGCGTGATATTTAAGTCTATCTTTCGTATAAAAAAGTATCCAACATATTCAAGTGAAATCGACAGTCTCGCTCAGTGTTCCGACGGAACATTTTACATATTAACTTTAATTAAATCAAAGTAAAACAATACGCAGTTTAGTGATTTCATTACATTTCATTTTAAATATGTATGTTGACCGTGACGTAGATTCGATAAACATGCGATTCCATTTTGAGAATAGCCGCACAGATGCAGGCAAATACATTAGAGAACATACTTCAATGAGCTACTAGTTCGCAAGCCTGAGACCTTTCTATATTTTCTTACTACAACATAACATAACATAACATCAAGCCTTTTATCCCCGAAGCCGTAGGCAGAAGTTCACATTATGCCACTGTACAATGTAACACCCACTTTTCACTATTTATGTTATGAGTCCCATGTAATAGGGAGTGAGCCTATTGCCTTAAACCGGACACAATTCCAGACTCCGTGCTACTACTGAGCATTTTTTAAAAACCCTTTCTTACTATAATATTGTAATTGCGAATGTTTGTGTGTTTTATGTATATTTTTTTTTGTTTTTTTTTTTTTGGCATAAGCCGGTAAACGAGCAGACGGCTCACCTGATGGTAAGCAATCGGCGTCGCCCATGGACACCTGGAACACCAGAGGCGTTACAGGTCCGTTACCGGCCTTTTGTGGATTAGGAGTTTGAGGATCGTTGGGGATTCAGGAATTGGGGAAGGGGAGAGTAATTGGGCCTCCGGTAATATCACTCACACGACGAAACATAACGCAAGCGTTGTTTCACGTCGGTTTTCTGCTCGGCCGTGGTATCACTCCGGTCGAGCCGGCCCATTCGTGCCGAAGCATGGCTCTCCCAAACTTTTACTCACATATTTGTTACTCAAGCGTGACATAACAGCTGAAAGGATCGGGGTGAAATTTAGAATAGAGTAGATTATGGTCAAAAATGTATTCATGTAAATTAATACAACTTCTTTCGTTTTTAACCGACATCTTTTATTTTAATTATGCTTTATTAATTGAGTTTTTCTTAAAGTATCAAGCACAGTATGTGCTTGCCTGTAATCGATTGTAACATTTTACTGTTATCTTATGAAAATGTTTGTTATTTAATATACAATTGTTGGTGGACTAATAAACATAAAAAAATAACAATTATGCTACTTTTTATCCCGCGGGAACACGGGCGAAGCCGCTGGCCGAAGTAAGTGTAAAAGATTTCTTCCATTTGTTACTAAGATTTTTTTAATCTATGCAAGACTTTAATAAATCATCTCTGTGTTTACTGTTAAGGTTGGTTTTGGGTTGAATTTCATCTTCTGAGAAACGAACATTCGTGTCAATATCGAGAAATCCGGTAGAGCGCTTCCTCCGAGGCTCGCCGGCAATGTCGTAAACCTCCAACTAATTTCGCACTGCAGAATTTCTGCCACTAATAAGTCTTCGTGTTGTTCCAAGGCGGGCTGAATTTGCGTTAAATTATAAAGCTTATTAACCATAGTTCCCCAGTGTGTCGTAACCCGCTGCAATGAAACGTTGCTCTGTAGGTGCGGTACTTCATCCAAGCTTCTTGTTAACTTGAATTATTACTGGATATCTAAGCATCCTAAGAGATTTTGATTAATTAAATCCTGAATGTGACATTTTTCTTTCTCTTTGTTTGCGTCTGGACTGAGCTGTGAGAGTTGAGACTCATTTCGTCTTATTTGTAATAAAATCTTAATATATTCTAAAGTATTTCATCTTCTCAAGGTGAATACCACGGATCTAGTGAATTTATATTAAATCGTGGAGACAATAAACCTTTTTGCTCTCAACTGAATTCTGCTTAAAAGAAGTAAATGAAAGGAATGTCAAGATGACATTATTATTTAATACATTCAGTGATGTTATACTTTTGTATTTTTATTTAAATGGAAAAATAAGTAAATGGAGAAATCAAACAGCAATACAGTACTGAAACATACTTCTGGAGATGAAGGAGGCAACCAAGGAGACGATGACATTCCGACTACGTCGAGAGGAGATAACTTTAACCCTGAACAAATATCACACAACATGAATGATTTTAAAGCTCTGGATTTTAATTCCGCTGATGAAGTTAGGTAAGAATAAATATTATTTACGAAATTGTTTTACTTAACTGTCAAGTAGAACTGAAAGAAGTATTAAGTCGCTATTCATTTTAGGCAAGCTATGAAGGTGATGCTGTCTGGGAAAATGCCTCCGCAGTCATTCGCAGAGGAGGGCAATAAGTTTCCAAGTAACAATGAACCAGTAAAAATCAACGAAACAAATAACTCTTTACGTACTCACAGCATGATGAGACCTGTTCGTCTAATTCATAACAAGTTTACATCGGCTTGGAACTTTAAGAGACATGCTGAGACTGAAGTGAAATCTTTACCAGAAAACACTACACTGGATGGAGTCAAATCTTCGCATAAATTACCAAAACCTCAGAAAGAATCTGCAAAGAATTCACGTAAACAACCGAAAACTGCTGGTGATTCTACCAGACGAAAAAGACCTGGGCGGCCACCGAAAGCAGGGCCTTCTAAAGCCAAAAAGCCCAACATTAAGTCGATGTATCTTGGGAAATTATCTAACGTTGTTCCCTTCAAGCGGCAGTTGGAGTCTGGAAGCGAGTCGGACGTAGAATCTGTTATAGTGTTTTACTAAATTATGTCAAACCAAATTCTGACTTTTGTTTCTTTGGGATTTCATTGTCTTAAATCAAGTATAGAAATAAATATCGCTAGAAACATTCAAATTCATTGTAGTTTGCTTATCTAAACGTTTCTTTATTAATAAATTGAAGATTCGTTTATCAGCTTGAGTGGAGATCGTTTATGTTCCCCGTGTATCGGTGAGCGGTGTTATCGTATTTCAGCAATCTCTTAGCGGATCGTATCATATCGGAAATTGAATTTCCGATTGGCTCTCGACTGCACAGCAGACTGTCTGTAATGGATGGTCCCGCGGTCCCTGTTTCGCGGAGTTCATGAGAATGATAGATAGAAATACTTGGAGGCGTATTTCAAACGTTCCGATGTGGAAATTGAGGAATATTGATGTAGTCCTTTCTTCGTTTCTCTTTATTTTGCTTTTTTTGCGAGTAAATAGTGTTTATTTTGGCCGGTCCGAACCCGCTTTGGTCTGTTTGTGATGAATAAAGATGAGTTCAGTACAGTTGATTTACTTTGTTTTCACAGTTTTGTTTCTATGGATAAAATAATTGATGTTACTGTTACATATTGTGCAGTTGACGTTCCGAATACCAGCGACATGAACTTGAGTAGAAACAAAAATGTAAGTTTGTTATAATCCACATAATTCACGAATGCCACTTAAATCTAGCAACTATTAGTTCCTAACTAAAATAATAACTCTATCACCAAAAAAGCTACGCCAAACAAGAAAATTTAAATTTAAAACCTAAAGTGACAAAACAAGATTGTTGTTTCAATTCGCGGCACGTTACAACATGGCGCACGTTGTTTGTACATGTTTTGACAGGTAATGTAATATGTAGTGAGAGAAATTGGGTTTGAGTCGAGCAGTATTGACACGGGTGCTGATATTGATGATGACATGTTCCAAATATAACGCACTGGGTCCTTTAGATAAGGCTTTATTTCAACACGTGCCTTAGTAACGTGGTTTACACGGGAGATGTTATTGTGATGCAGCCTTGAAAGATTTGGTAGATGGAAAAAAAAATGTATTGCTAGTGTTATTGAACTTTAAATTGTCAAACACCAAGCGGTCACCGGTGACCGCAACCTATTGTTCTTTAATTGTTTCTATAATACCGGTACTCAACGAGTTAACTTATGACTAACTTGTCGCGGAAAACCTAGCGGGTTACCAGGGCTCCGGCTCGAAGTGCAGGAGAAGGAACGGGGTGGTTTTTAGTCAGTAAGAGTCTGACACTCCCTCCCGCCTCACCCAGGCGCGAGCAGTCATTCGATGATTTTCCCCCCTTAAAAAAACCTATGACTAACTTATTTATATTTTAAGGTACACATAAATGAGGATACGTAAGACGGACCTAATGCCATAAGCATTTTCTGCTAGTCGAATTATACTTTGGACGTTATGTCCATAAGAATAATGAATATTATTGCATACCTAAATGATGCTTCGACTGTAGCATAAGAAGAGTCCGAAAAATGTTTTGTTTCTAATTCTTATCCGCACTGCCTCGTTATCCGAGCAGTCGTAAGTGCGATTGCCGGGCAAGGGGTCTCGGGTTCGATTCCCGGGTCGGGCAAAGTATTACTGGGTTTATAAAAATTTTCAGTGGTAGCACGGAGTCTGGAATTATGCCCGGTATATGGCAATAGGCTCACCCCCTATAACATGGGACTCATAAATAGTGAACAGTGGATGTTATTGTGGTATTCAGTGCCGTAATGTGAACCTCTGCTTACCCCTCCGGGGATAAAAGGTTGTCGTTATGTTCTTAACCGAATTAATTGAGGTATAGAAATCCAAAATATAGTCTTTAAATGAAATTATCACAGAGATGGAAGACAATGAGAAATTCCTTTCTTTGTTTCGCCAAAGAATCTCATTATGGTGGAGATTTATTGATAGACGCTCTATTGTTTTTGTTCCTTTGACTCGATCGGGCAGTCGTGTACTTTTTGGTTTATGGGGCCCTAGATTTGATTACCAGATTCTGTAGTATTTTTGGACTTTGTTTATCCATTGCATTTTTATGTATTAATTCAGTTGCGAACTATTGGTCAGGTTTATGTCTAGCAGTGAACGGAAGCTTTATGATAACTACTACTATGTTACAATTTTGTTAATGGCGCGTAATATAACGTGCACCTATTGTGTGAAAACTTGTGGTAAAAAGCGGTGAGCCAAGAACAAAAGTTCCTAAATTAAAACATAAAAAGTATAAACCTAATCGCCATAGCCAAAACCGAGACGGAAAGATATATGATTATCTATACCTAGGTATACAACATGTAACGTAATTAACGCACACCCTCAAATACCCCAATTAGAATAATTTATGTTATAATCATAATACATACACTAAATTTTTAATTTAACATGGAGGTATATGCATCCTTACTGGTCTTGTCATAAGGTTTATTTATCTTTATTTTGTATTGAATGATAGAATTTGTATGAATACAAATAAAACTGCGATTTTAAAAGTCTTATTTGCTTTGACTTTTTGATTTCGATTTGTTTTAACAATACAGGGTTAATATCACATTAATTTCCGTAGTTTTAATTATTTTTGGGATAAAAAATTACCTATAATAAAAATTATATAAATCGATTCAGTTAACGATTCTGAACAAACTATTTTCAGGATGATTTATTTAAGTTACACGTTGTATATTGTTGCTAAAATACTAGAGACAAAACTATGAATATACATACAATTCGAACTTGTAAAATAACTGTCGTTCGTAAATTAAAGGCGTCTGCCTTTAATTTTGTAGCTATGCCAATACGTCTTTCTACAAACACTTTATTGTTAGAAGCTATCCAAGATTTGTCAGATTTCTTTTAGTTCCAAAGGTATCCAGAAAGTTCTCTTTAGCCATCAAAATCCGTAGTCACGGAGGACGGTTTATGCTAATTAGTTTTATTCGTCTTCGCAAATCGTCTAGAAAATGAGCAGACTCAACTTTCGCAATGAAACCAGGATTACTGAATTTTCTAGGCTTTTATTTTACTTCGTATCTTTTAAGCTTTGATTTAGAATGTGGATTTTATTGTTATTGATTCTTCTGTGATTTAATTGTTTGGTTTAGTGTGAATCATTCTACACATAATTTCAATACTTTTATCCCCGAAAGAAGAGGAAAAGGCAGAGGTGCACACAATGTCACTGTATCATGTAACATCCACTTTTCATTATGTATGTTATGAGTGCTACGTAATAGAGAGTGCCTATTGCCGTGTACCGGGCACATTTCCAGACTCCGTGCTACTACTGAGAATTTAAAAAAACCCAGTAAAACCTTGGAATCGGACTCGAGACCTCTTGCCCGGCAGTCGTACTTGCGACCACTCGGCCAACGAGGCAGTCAGTTTGAATACAAGTATTATTATAATGCAACTTACAGTGATTTATGTTGCAACACAATCAAGAAAAAACTTGAATCATTCTAATTTTATCTTAATAGATGATTTGGCAATTCCTTGGTCTGCATGTTAATGTTACTTCTAGAAACATTTGTTAGTTACATAACAAGGTAAGCACATTTTCATTGGCTAATTATCGGGGACATTCTTTTTAAGACATACAGACCTACAACTTAATGTATTTACTCTTGTCCCAGATTGTAAATTTTACCTTCCGTTCTTGTTTCTTTTATTAAAACGAGAACAGTGCTTACAACCCCTTGTACAGTCCTCTAAGCTAAGTGCTTACTTACATCCCAACCCTAAATACTCCCGTTGACAAGTACAACTTAACGCAGCTTAACACAGCCGTGCATACATTACAAGAACTAAGTAAGTAAGTTATTGGCAATCTTTCTGTCCCTCGACACGTTTTACTAAGGGAACTACAACCAACTGAAGAAGTTAGACAATACTGTGACCCGTAAAACTCTTACTTACTATCCAAAAACCAACCTTCTCTCTTTCAGCTAAGGTTGAGTCTCTGATTGGCTAACCGTTTTTTGTCAAGTATGAACATGCTTCCCCAAAATTAAGTCCCCATTGTGGAATGTTCTCTAATAATGAACTATGGCCCCTTGGTCCTATTCTGTAGACCCTACAAGTTTAAATTGCATCGTCCGACCTAATTTGGACACGTCACGAAATGGACAACCTGTGTTAATCGTTGCTTTTATTTTTGTCATCTTTGCTTTATCCCTTTTTTTTTTTTTTTTTTTTTTTTTTAAGGGGGGAAAATCATCGAATGACTGCTCCCACCTGGGTGAGGCGGAAGGGAGTGTCAGACTCTTACTGACTAAAAACCACCCCGTTCCTTCTGCACGTCGAGCCGGAACCCCGGTAACCCGTTAGGTTCTCCGCGACACAGAACCTAGGATAGTGTCAAGCGACACAACCCCTATAACATAGAACCCACAACATAACAATTCATTCATTGAAATGTGGCAAACCTTAGGGTGGCAAATGCCTTTGATTAAGTTAATTTAAATCTGACAGATTTCTTCACGTTTGGAGGTGTGACTTGTGTTTGAAGTTATCATTTCTAGCATAATATAAACATAACATTACGTCTTTGATCCCTGAAGGGGTAGGCAGAGGTGCACATTATGGCACTTAATGCCACTGTACAATGTAACACCCACTTTTCACTATTTATGTTATATTATCTGTCCCTTGTAATAGGGGGTGAGCCTATTGCCATATACTGGGCAGATTTCCAGACCCCTTGCTATTACTGAGATTTTTTTTAAACAGAGCTTCGGCAGTCGCACTGACGGCCACTCGGCCAACGAGGCAATCATATCATTTCCAGCAACATAATGAAACATACATTGAGTTGACCAAAACAAAAGTTCCTATAAGATTCTTCGTAGTTTTCCGAACATCGTATCGTATCGACTAACTTAAATAGATGATCAAGCACGATGTGACTTCTATTGCAAAATTTGGAAATTAGACTTTAATTCATCACAAATAAGTTACAAAATGCAGTTATAAAAACTTAACGTCTCTCTATTTGC